TTAATCTGTCTCAATACTTACCTTGAAGACATTAACAAATTTTCCTCTATTTTATCTTCTTGAGGCTAACTGTCTGCTTGTGATGCTATAAAGTAATTAGTCAGTATAAAACTCATAAAAGTGATGTCTTCAGGGTGTAGCCTGGTATGCTATATTCATTAGATTTAGCGAACCACCCAGATTCACTTTAGTAGATTCTCTGTTTTATACGCGGATTATCATAAAAATATCCCTTAAAAGCCTTTGTACCTTACTGTTTTTCCCAAAATATTTTCCCCAAATAAGATTTATTACTATCGTAATTATAGTATATTCGAAATAATGCATCACCTCATTCCTTATTTCTTAGATAGCGACGTTATTCAGCTCTTGATCTGGCCGTTTGACCAGGATGCAGCCCCTTTGTGGAATTTCGCCAGCATCCTGACTTAGAAATACTACATTACAAGTAGGTCATGGAGTTGGCAATCAGATTTAAGGATGATTTTCTACTTGCTACGACTCCTTATAAATCTGGGGAAACTGGCCTACCCATAAATTCACTAGAACTAGAAGAGCAACATACAATTATTTTAATTGAAGGTATGAAGTCCAAGATGATGTGGCCGACGGTATGGTTGCAGTCTCCTTTCGCTGTATAGAAATTGTTTGACTTTGCTTGCAAAACTTGGTCATATTGAAAGGAAGACTTAGATGAATGCACCTTGTGCAGAGTTCATAATACGCAGATTGCGAAATCAAGGTCAAACAACTTCTATAAAATTATTTTTCCAAGCACGAAGTACTAATAAAGATGCTTATTAGTAATTTATGTGGGTCCTTTTATTTAATAAAAAAGGCAGGCTTTGAGGTATTTGTTTATAATTTATGGTATTTTTCAAAGTACCTTGAGTTATGGCAGCGGTATAAAAAAAGTTTTGACATCCATGGCTTATGATGACACCATAGAGTGAATTGTTGTCTTGATCTTGAATAATAGATGATATTCACTTTAAATTATCGTTTCGATAGTTATTTGATGATTTTCCATATATGATGACTAGATCGAGCGAGGTTTGATTCGATCTTACACGTTGGTGGTATTCACACAGACTTTGCATTTGCATAATTAGGCTGTACACGTAAATGTATGTACAGACAGGCAGACTCACTAAACAAGTCTTTGAAAGGCCAAAATAGGTGATTCTTGACCTGAAAAGTCAGTGCACCACACGTCCGTAAGCCAGGTCTTTTGTATGGGATCTTTAGGAAACGGACGGCTTGTGAGATGAAATCATGAGGCTTTTCCAAGTACACAGGCACACAAACATGCAGACAAATGGTGCTCTAAAACGCACACATTCGCGACCTGACTAGAAGCACAATTTGTCTAGTGGTTTCTGGTTGAGGTAAATTACAGGGATGTCTTTCGTGTTATAACCAGTTAATTGAGTTTTTTCAGGGAGTTCACACGCAGGTGATGGTCATTGATGTTGCCATGACAAATGACATGGGCCAGGTCCAAGTGCGTTGATATCCTATTTGTTTGAAGAATGCTAAGCTCGGCACTCTGCAAATGAGAACAGTTTTTTGTTAGTTCATTAACATGCCGGCGGGGTCCGAAATAGATCGCCTGGCGGCGTTTGCGGCCGATTAGGCGTGACCAGTCAGCCGGTGGTATCCAAGTTGGTCGAGGGACAATGCGCACAAAAAAGCCGCCCATATGCTGTCTGGTGAGAATAAACAAGGCAAACATAAGACATTTCGAGAACAATTGATGGATGGTCTATGGTGATAATTCAAAGGCTAATATTTTAGCATAAAAAAGTCACTTATCTCCTCCAAGTTCCCCTTTGACGGAGTCATTTGTCACTTGTCCTCCTACATGTTAGCTATCTTCAAATATGAAGTATCCATATCGAAAACGCTCATATAAAAGAATTATAGTCAGCCTAAATAGCAAAATGTGCTGAAGGACTGATAGTAGAATGTTCTCACACTCATGTGAAGAGGCGTCTGATTTTTATTTAATTTGAAAGGCATTCTCATCCACGCTAAACTTGATTTCAACTTCAAATTCGCTCGGATCTCATAAGTATCCCCAGCGGGAATCTAACCCAAGTAGTTCAACGCATACTCGTTACACGGTACCACTATGCCATACTGGCGCGAGTGCCTCCGGACAATAGCGTAAACTGGAATTTCAAGAAAGTCTTGGCTATATGGTATGGAATTTGATATGAGACATGTTTGGATTTTGCCATGATACTAGACTACACTACTTACATTTGTATAAAGTAGATTTCGAAACTTTAATTAAATCTTAAATACGAGTTTCGGATTCCACTTTGAACGAGTATAAGTAGTGTAGTCGATTTTAATGGTAAAATACAAGTTTAGCTGATAAGCAATCTCAAAATAAAGAGTATATGCTAGAAGTTTGGCATTACTGTCGAGATAATATGCAACGCTACCCGGGTCTGATTACCGGTGAGGTGGCTGATGAAACCCGGGCGAGGTAAAAACTACAGCCACATCCAGCGTGGATGAAAATACCTCTTGGGAAGCAAGTCTAGGTGAAATTTATTGGAAACATGATGTCTTCTCATATAATTGTGGGAACATTAAAATATCAGTCCTTTATTACCATATGAGACTTAGGGTGACTTTAACTTCTATTAAAGATTAAAGGATAGTTTCTCAAACCTACTCTTAATGGATATATGCTAGAAGGATAGACTCACCTTTGAGGACGGAGTTCAGGAAGTTGATTATCGAGTAGGTCGCTGGTTTGTGGGCCAAGTCTGTCCGGATCATCAGGAGCTTGCCTTGGTTTTAGACTTGGGAGAAAATGCTGCTTTGTGCTAGTTATAGGCTCTTCCTTTTCTGCACACTCACTTTGCCAGGTCTCTAAACTCAGACCTCTAAGAAGACAGAAAAAAATTAGTGTCATGAGATGAATTATATTGGCTCGAGGGTCATTGTCATTTTACGCTATTTTGGAACCGTGCTCAGTTGGGTAGTATAGGGACCCAGGTCACTAACATATTGTATTTTCTGGCCCTTATTGATAACTTTAAACTAGACAAGGCAGTCATACATGGAACTGAAAGTCTTTTAGTGTCTGTCTCATGCAACCATCTGTAGGATGCAACCTAAGTTTGGCCGACTGAATGCAATCTTGTATCAACTTTAAGTGATTCTTCAAACACGATATTTCATGTGGTACTGGAACTGTGCA